GGCCCCTTCCAGTACATTCTTTTCTTGTCTTTCTTTTTTTCTTTTTTTTTTTTTTTACAGTCAGAGTGGACAGTGAGAGAGAGAGAGAGAGAGAGAAAGGTCTTCCTTTTTGCCGTTGGTTCACCCTCCAATGGCTGTCGCGGCCAGCGCGCTGCAGCCGGCACACCGCGCTGATCCGATGGCAGGAGCCAGGTGCTTCTCCTGGTCTCCCATGGGGTGCAGGGCCCAAGCACTTGGGCCATCCTCCACTGCACTCCTGGGCTACAGCAGAAAGCTGGCCTGGAAGAGGGGCAACCGGGACAGAATCCGGCGCCCCGACTGGGACTAGAACCTGGTGTTCCAGCGCCACTAGGTGGAGGATTAGCCTATTGAGCCATGGCGCTGGCCCTCCAGTACATTGTTTAGTGCCTTTTCCAGTTATTTGCTGGCCATGGTAGCAAAGTTTCATGCTGTCCTTATGTATCATTGACCATTTCTATCATAACCCACATTTTGTGTTTTTATTTTCTAATGTCCATATTTTAAGATGTAAATAAAGATTTCAGGCATTTACTTCACATTATTATTTAGTTCCCATAGTCTGCATTCACTTTCCCATCAATGAGTTGTAAAATAACAAATAAATGAACTGAAGCCTTAGTAGGAACAGAGTGCAGAAGTGAGGAAGCTTTCAGAAGATGAGATGTCAGTGGACCCTTGAGGATAACCGCCCTGGAGGTTTCTGTGTTGCAGAGAGAGCTGGGCTCACAGCACTGACAGAGATGATTTAAACAAAGAAGTGCCAGATCAAAATCATGCTATGTGTTTAAAAATGAAAGATCAATAAAATATGTAAATGTCCTTCCCCATGGTCTGATGGGGAAGTCTGACAGGTAGATCGATATATGTAGTCACCATTTGCAAAATTCTGCCATAGAAATGTAGGCAAAATGCCCCTAGGGCACAGGAAAGGATGGCTGACTCCATCAAGTGGACAATTCATTGTCACAGAACCTTAGCAGAGTGTAATGAACGTAATTTAAAAATTGACATGCAACAGTGTATGCTTTCTCGTGTACAATGTGATGTTTTGAGATCTCAGTATATCTATTTGTAACACAGAAGAGTGGTTAAATCTAGCTTGTCATGAATGCATTACTTCACATTGTTATTATTTTTGTGGTGAAAGGGTAGACCATCCACTCTATATTACATTATGCAATATGTTGACATTAAGCATAGTCATCTTGCTGTGTAACAGATCTCTTGAGTTTTTCCCCCTGATTGTAGTTGTGCACCCTCTGACCAGCAATTCAATCCCACCTCGCCTCTACCCACCCCCATCTCTGCTAACCAGGATTCTAGTCTGAACTTCACAGTGTCAAGGCTTTTAGATTCCACATCCAGGAAGTACTTGTCTTTCTGTGCCGACCTTCTTGAACTAAGCCTAAAGTCCTTAACTTAAGGTCCTCCTTGGTCATGGGCGTTGCCACCATTGCTGGGAAAGCTCACTAAGCTCTTCCGTCTTTCTCCTTTCACATGTAGATCTTGTGTCTCCTCCTTCCTTGGCCAGACACCCCTGCACCTCCCTGCCTGCTCACTTGCTCTGCCCCAGGGGAGGAAGTGAGTGTCCAGGGATAAAGTGAATGTGCTTGCCTTGGCTCCTCTCACTCTTGGTGGTGCCCCTGGGGGAACAGGTGTCTGTTTCCTAGGGAGGAGGCAGTCCCAAGTCCAGGAAGAGTGGGCACATTTGCACCGTTCTGTGGCTCAGCTGGCTTATTCCTCTCCGTACAAACCATCTGTCTCCTATATCCTCCAATTCAGGCTCCATCAGACAGGAAAACCAGGACCCTCTTATAATTAAGCTTGTTTTGCAATTGATACAGGCTTGAGTAGGAAGTAGAGAGGGGAGCAGGCAGGCCTGTTTCCTTTGACAATGTAAGGGTTTCCCTGGCGCTGGCATAACAGATGATCACAGACTGGATGACAAAAAGCAACACAAAGTCAACGTCTCAGGGTTTAGTAGACCAGAAGTCTGATATCAAAGGTGGGCAGGGTTGATTCCTTCCAGAGCCCCTCAGGGAGAGCCCGTTGCTTACCTGTCGCCAGCCTCTGGTGCTGTGCTTGGCGTTCTTGGCTCACGACGCCTGTTCCTCTTTGCCTACAACTTCACAAGCCTTTCTCTCCATTTCTTTGGGTCAAAATTTGCCCTGTCACTTCTTTCTTTAAAAGAAATAATTATCTTTTGGTCATTTACTTTGAAGTCAGAGTGGCAGAGACAGAGAGGGAGGGGGAAGAAGAGGTGTTGGGAGGGAAGGGAGAACGAGAGCAAGAGTGAGTGAGCACGTGAGAGATGCATCTTCTGTGTACTGGTTCCCTTCGCAAATGGCCACAGTGGTGAGAGCTGGGCGAAGCTAGGAACCTGGAACACTGTCCTGATCTCTCAGAGAGGTGGCAGAAGCCCAGGTGTTTGGGCCATCATTTGCTGCATTCTGAGGTACATTTGCAGGGAGTGGAATCGGAAGCCAAGCAGCCAGCACTCCAACCAGCCCTCCTGTATGAGATGCTGGTGTTGCAGGTGGGGGCTGAACATCTTGGGCCACAGAACCGGCCACACCCCGTTTCACACTTCCTGGGTGAGGACACCACTCATTGCTGTTAGACTAGTGTAAGTTCAGCATCAGCTGGCTTTGATGTTACAACTTAATTATATTTGCAAAGATCATGTTTCAAAATAAGATCACATTTACAATTTCTAGGGGTGAGGACTTCAATGTAACTTTTAGGGAGAAGAAACATATTCCAGCCCCCTCTGGGCTACTACCACCATTATCAAACAATTTCGCTATGCTCATCCTCCTGAAACCTGTGGGCTTTTTCTTTGTGTGAATGGCTTTCCTCCTAGAATTTTCTGAAATAGGTTATTAAAGGTTAGGAAGGGTTCCTTAGGTGATTGAGTTTGAAGTAGGAAATTTGGATTTAATCTCATCTCAGACTTGTGGGAAAACATTGTTGGACATAATGTTACCCATGAAATTGTAGGTGTTGTAATATTCAGCACTAAGATTAAATAGTGTTAGGACTGTTACTGTCTGTGGCACAGTACCTGATACATGGTAGACACTGATTACATGTTATGTGGATACATTAATAAGTGAATATATGGGTCAGTGAGTAGGGAAGGAGTGAATGAAAGAGAGTGAGTGGGAGGAAACGAGAGGTGAAGTGGTGACAAGATGTGGTGGTAACATGGGGTGATGCACTGAGATAGGTGTGAAGTGTATGTAGACAGCATCAACATTGAAACTTTCAAAGAGAAACCAAAGCAGCACCTGGGAGAATGGACTAGGAAAAGGTAAAATGTATGTTCAGTGTATGTTTGGATGACAGAGGGGTTAGAAGTCTGTACAATTGTGTTGGAAAGGAAATTCTTAAGGGAAAGTAATACGCATAATTTTTAAAAAGATTTTATGTATTTATTTGAGAGGTAGAGTTACAGACCGAGGGAGAGACAGAGAAAAAGAGTAAACCCAATTTTTGGAAGGGAGGAGAATGTGGGTGACATTGGTGAATGTTTTCTTTTCTCATCTAAAGTGCAGAGTTAAAACAGGTGTCAGAATTCCAAACAGTGGCCCAACCTGGCTCACTGGCCACTGCCTGTGAGCTATTGTGACAAAGCTCCAAGACACAGACACTGGGTGTAAGAGGATTAGTATACTGTATTATGTTCTTTTTAAAAAATTATTTAAGATATATAAATTTCATATATTTAATAAGTACAAATTTGGGAACATAGTGATACTTCACACCTTTTGCCCCTCCCACCCATGCTCCTACTCTCCTCGTCTTCCCCCTACTAGTCCCACACTTAATTTTTACAAAGATCTATTTTCAGTTCACTCTACACTTATAAAGTTAACCCTACAAAACTGATCTCTGTAAAAAATAAGAATGGGAAAGGAAGAGGAAGGAGGAAGAAAGGCAGGAGTGTGGGTAGGAAGGAGGTGGGGGAAGAAACATCATGTTCCCAAATCTGTATATATTAAATACATGAAGTTACACTTCTTAAATAAAATTAAAATAATAAACAAAAAAGTTAACCCTACACTAAGGAAAGAGTTCAACAGATAGTATGAAGAAAAAAAATGCTGTTCCTCAACAGTAGAGGCAAGGGCTATAAACAATCATCAGATCTCAAAATGTCCATTTCACTCTAAAACATTACATTTTAGGTACACTATTAATTCTGCTACATAGTAGCCCAGCTGCCTTTGTCTGATGATTTGCATTCAGTTGGTGATGGTCAACCATGGTCTGAAAATACTAAGCGGAAAATTCTGTCAAGTAAAATTGATTAGTTGTAAATCACATGCCATACTGAGTGTTATGATGAAGTCTCATACTGTCTTAGTCCACTGTGCCCTGATGCAGGTCATGCCTTAATCCAATGTTTCCGTGCTGTATTTGATACCTGCCCATTAGAAAGTTTATAGCCATCTTAATTATCAAATTGACTTACATATGTCCCAGCTCTGTGTTCAAGTTTCCCTTATGTGACTTAAAAATAACCCCAATGTGCAAGAGTAGTGATGTTAGCAATTTGGATATTCTAAAGAGAAACTGAAAGTGCTTCCTTTAAGTTGAACATTCACAACTTATTAAGGAAAGAAAAATAATATGTTGAAAGTTTCCAGAGATCTGTCACAGTAATAAATATTCTCTCAGTGAAATTGTGAAGAAGGAAAAAAAGTGTTCATGCTGGTTTTGCAGTTGCAAATCAAAGTGCAAAAGTTATGACTACCATGAGTGATGAGTACTTAGCTAAGATGAAATAGAATTTCATTGAATTTGTGTATGTGAGAATAGGAAAAAGTAGGGTATAAAGGATTCAGTGTTTTAGCAGTTTCCATCATCCACTGGGACTCTTAGAATGTATCCCACAGAGATAAGGGTAGACTATATTATGACATCATGTTAGATTAGATTATGTCACATTGTGATCATTACATATGTACTTACAGGTAGAAGAAAGGCCGTGATGTTCTCTGTTCTCTGGCAGCTGAAGGCTATGGAGAGTGGGAGGTACCTTGGCCATTGGTGCTCTGATCCCAGACTTGCAGACACAGGCTTTGGAAGAAGGAGCTCCTTTTCATTTTAGTCCAAGTTATTTCTGGCATCAACGATGATGGCAAGACATCCACGACCACAAGGAGCTTCGCCTACATAAGTGATCAAAACTACTAGAAATAATCAACCATGGCTCATTTTTTCTCTTCATTTCTGCCTATAATCACACATTTCAAATTCCTGCCTGTACTAGTTACTATTGTGATAATCTCCAGTCTTCTAAGTACAATTTCCTTAGTATCCATTTCTTATTTCTTCGTTGGAATATTCTTTTTTTTCTTTAGTAAATATAAATTTCCAAAGTATAGTTTATGGATTACATTGGCTCCCCCCCCCTATAATTTCCCTCCCACTCGACCCCTCCCATATCCCACTCCTTCTCCCATTCCATTCACATCAAGATTCATTTTTAATTATCTTTATATACAGAAGATCGATTCAGTATATATTAAGTAAAGATTTCTTCAGTTTGCATCCACACAGAAACACAAAGTGTAAAATACTGTTTCAGTACTAGTTATAGCATTGATTCACATTGGACAATACATTAAGGACAGATCCCACATGAGAAGCAAGTACACAGTGACTCCTGTTGTTGACTTAACAATTTGACACTCTTGTTTATGGCGTCAGAAATCTCCCTAGGCTCTAGTCATGAGTTGCCAAGGCTATGGAAGCCTTTTGGGTTCACTGACTTCGATCTTATTCCGACAGGGTCATAGTCAAAGTGGAAGTTCTCGCCTCCCTTCAGAGAAAGGTACCTCCTTCTTTGATGGCCCCGTTCTTTCCTCTGGGATCTCACTCAAAGAGATCTTTGATTTAGGTCTTTTTTTTTTTTCCAGAGTGTCTTGGCTTTCCATGCCTGTAATACTCTCATGGGCTCTTCAGCCAGATCCGAATGCCTTGAGGGCTGATTCTGAGGCCAGAGTGCTATTTAGGACATCTGCCATTCTGTGAGTCTGCTGTGTATCCCGCTTCCCATGTTGGATCGTTCTCTCCCTTTTTGATTCTATCAGTTAGTATTAGCAGACACTAGTCTTGTTTGTGAGATCCCTTTGACTCTTAGACCTATCAGTGTGATCAATTGTGACCTGAAATTGGTCACTTGGACTAGTGAGATGGCATTGGTACATACCACCTTGGTGGGAATGTATTGGAATCCCCTGGCACGTTTCTAACTCCACCATTTGGGGCAAGTCCGATTGAGCATGTCCCAAATTGTACACCTCTTCCTTCTCTTATTCCCACTCTTATTTTTACCAGGGATCACTTTTCAGTTAAAATTTAAACACCTAAGAATAATTGTGTGTTAATTACAGAGTTCAACCAATAGTACTAGAACAAAAAAAAATACTAAAACTGATAAAGTATTACATTGTACATCAACAGTCAGGACAAGGGCTGATCAAGTCACTGTTTCTCATAGTGTCCATTTCACTTCAACAGGTTTCCCCTTTGGTGCTCAGTTAGTTGTTGCCGATCAGGGAGAACATATGATGTTTGTCCCTTTGAGACTGGCTTAATTCTCTCAGCATAATGTTTTCCAAATTCCTCCATCTTGTTGCAAATGACTGGGTTTCATTGTTTTTGACTGCTGTATAGTATTCTATAAAGTACATGTCCCATAGTTTCTTTATCCAATCTACTGTTGATGGGCATTCGGGTTGGTTCCAGGTCTTAGCTATTGTGAATTGAGCTGCAATAAATATTAATGTGCAGACAGCTTTTTTGTTTGCCAATTTAATTTCCTTTGGGTAAATTCCAAGGAGTGGGATGGCTGGGTTGTATGTTAGGGTTATATTCAGGTTTCTGAGGAATCTCCAGACTGGCTTCCATAGTGGCTTAACCAGTTTGCATTCATTCCCACCAACAGTGTTCTTAGCATATTAGATGGGAATGTCAGTTTTCCCCCAAATTAACCCTTTATTCAGCTTGCTCTACTCCAACTGTGTTCTGTTTTCATCTTATATTTGTAGCTCAAAAATGAAAACTCTTTTGCAACAGCTGCCATTTTATGGTTTTCCTCCTGATCCTGCTTTTTTTGTACATCTTCTCCTGGTTTACTGTCTTCACACTTTGATTTTTAATTAACCTTGAATCTTCCCCTTCTCAATGCTACCCATTAACACTTTCTTGCTTGGTAAGAAATTATAATGAGCAGAGTTACCACGTTCAACTGGGCACCCAGTTAAATCAGAATTTCAGATAAACAATGAGCAGATTGTAGTGTGAGTGTGAACCAATTACTGTCCTGTATTGTAATTTGCTGAGTCTGTCAAACCTGCCTCTATCCACTATGCACTATATTTTAATTAAAAAAATTCTGCTTATTTTCTGTTTACCCACACAATATTATAGCTCCCAAAGGGCAGAGTTCTTGTTTGTTTCATTAACGGCTGTATCCCTGGAACTCAGAACAGTGCCCAGAAAATAGTTCATGCTCAATAAATATTTATAAAATGAATTATTGAAATAGCCTTTCCCTGTCATCTAGCCTTCTCACAAGCATGAATTATAAATCTAGATTTTACCACTCTAACCATGTAATCATTGCACAGGTGTTTGTTTTAGGGTAGTATCACTGAATTATAAGGCATTTCTATTCTGCCCAAAGTCATGGGAGGCACTTACAGTACGTTCCCTGTTCTCAGATTTCACAGTGTCAGATATATGTGAGTCATGGTTTTGGGTTGTGAATGTCACAATTTACTTCATGGACAATATTGATTTTTCCCACATTTTTGTTATTGTTTACATCAAGAAATATCTGTTTCATCTTGCAAAAATAAAGCTATTTACCCATTAACAATAACTTCTTACTTATCACTTTCACTAGCTCTAGCCCCATCTTTCTTCCTCTCTGATTTTACTACTCCATGTTTCTCATGGGGAGAAAAGTATTTGTAAACTATGCAGCTGGTAAAGGAATAATATCCAGGGTATATAAAGAGCTCAAGAAACTCAAAAATAACAAGACAAAAATCCAATCAAGATATAGGCAAAGGACAAGAGCAGGCATTTTTTAAAAGGATGAAATACAAATGGCCAAGAAAGACATGGAAAATGCTCAAGATCACTAGCTATCAGCGAAATGCAGATCAAAACAGCAATGAGGTTTTACATCACCCCTGCTAGAATGGCTATCATCCGAAAATCAAAAACAGTGCATGCCTGTGAGGATGTAGGGAAAAGGGTACCATGATACACTGTTGGTGGGAATGCAAACTAGTACAATCATAAAGGAAGACAGCATGGAGATTTCTCAGAAATCTGAAAAATAGATCTACCATATGACCCAGCTACCATACTCCTGGGAATTTACCCAGAAAAAATGAAATCAGCATATGAAAGAGTTGTCTGTATTTCCATGCTTATAGAAGCTCAGTCTACAAAAGCTAAGATATGGAATCAACCCAGAGGTCCAACTACTGATGACTGAATAAAGGAATGTGATACACACACACACACACACTATGGAATGCTACTCAGCCACAAAAAAGAATGAAATTCTGTCTTTTGCAACAAAATGGATGCAACAGGAAACCATTATGCTTAGTGAAATAACCAGTCCCCAAAAGACAAGCATCATATGTTTTCTCTGATACGTGGTAACCAATATATACAGAGCGCAAAAATATAATGTATATGAGTGAATCTGACATTTTGAGACTTGAGTATTGTTTGTAGCCCTTGTCTATAATCTTGAGGAACATTGGATTTTGCTACTTACTACATGTTGGATTCTTCATCTGGTGTAGGGTTAAGCCTGTGGTTAAAAAACAGACTTCAAGAATATGTCACTGTAGAAATTAAAAGAAAAGATAAGGAAGGAGGAGGGAGGGTGGGAGCTTAGGCAGGAGGCAGGGTAGGGTGGAAACTAACATTATGCTCTTAAATCTGTCTGTTTGAAATACATGGAGTTTGCCCACCTTACATAAGTAAAACAATTGCATCCTACATATCATCTTGTGACTGGCTTGTCTCGTGTAGACTGATGTCCAGGCTCCAGCCTTGCTGGATCATTTGCCAGGGTTCCCTGTCCTTTGTGGCTGGGTCATATTCCTACTTTTATGATGAGTTCATTTTGCAATGGGCACTCGGTTGCTTTCACCTTTTGACCACAGTGGATTATGCTTCTGTGAATATTGTGGTGCAACATCTCCTTGTGCCCTGCTTTCTCTGCTGAGGGTAAATCATCAGAAGAGGAATTGCTAGAACATGGTAATTACATGGCATTTTGAGAAGCCACGATGCCATTTACCACAGTGGCTGCCCCATTTTGCATTCCTGCTAACAGGACACAGGCTTTCCATTTTTCCACATCCTCATCCACACTTGATTATTTTTTGTTGTTTTGATATCAGTATCATCCTAATGGTTGTGACTTATTATTTCATTGTGGATTTGTTTTGCGTTTTTGAATTGGCAGATAGACCACCTTCTCTCTCAGATTCTTCATGAAAAAAGAAAGGCTTCCCATTCTTGTCTAGAGACTTAGATACCATGGAGATGAAGCTCCAGGAATATTTTCTGGGGAGGCTAGGCCTTATTCGCTTCCCAGAGACAAGGCCAGCCCAGTGATCAGGACAGAGGAGATACAGAGAATGTTTGGGGACTTCACCCGCTACACAGCAGCTTCCCTCATCTGTGTGCTACATGATATTTAAATAATGTTTATCACACAGGAAGCACTTTAAATGTGTAAAGTGATTCAAGTTATAACTAAAGCAAGATCCAGATTGAGGCAATTTCACATTTTGGTTCACTTGCTTTAAATGTATTTTACTTGATTTTTTGTGTGTGCTTGGTTGATCACATGTAGTGATCAGAAATGATCTGGAGTGATCTTGTGTGATATTTCCACAGTTTTCCCTGCAGGTAACTTTAGGAAAAGCTGTACTACAGCATCGTGAAGAGGGTGGCATGGAAACAACCCACTTACACGTTCCTCTAGTTCCACAAGCACTCCTGCCTGTGGGAAGAGGCGGCTCCAGGAGCGCTGCGTCCTCTGCTTCTCCCTCTGTGACCACAGTCAGATTCTCAGAACGCATTTGTGAGTGCCAGCCAAGGGGAGCTGACTTTTGGGCTTGAAAGATGCATGTATGTGATTTTCAGATACTTCCATGTACAGGTAGATGATTATTGTTAGCCATTTCAGTGTAAGACATTTTTCCAGGAAGCTCAATTCCATGGTGACAGAGGAGCAGCGGTACAGGGAAGTGGTCTGTTGATGGGCACATAAGT